TTTTTTAGGAGCCCTTTGCGCGCAAACTAATTTATTCTGGCGCGAAATGAAGATTAAGAAAATGCATCTGAAATCTAATACACGACAAGAAAATTTTCGCACTTTCGAAGAGCGCGACATATTAAATGGGATTAAGTCGGATTAGCTGCCCGCGGAGAAAACATCACTGCGTGGGATGGTACTTCCAGTAAAAAGCCTCTGTGTGCTCTCATGGTAGACACGCTATGAGATTTCACATGGAAAATTATTTTTCACTGCTTCGTTAAAAATTGTTCAGTATTTATTCTAGACACGTGGATATTCTGCGCATGATAAGGGGAGTCAAAAGTGACTTGGGATCGAGAATGTCGGCCAGCCTGTAGCGATCACAGAAACAGTACGAATGAGCAGTGTGTTACCCATTGTCCTGTTGCTGGCTTAGCCAGTGCACTGGGAATTTCCAGTCTGGTCAGCCGGGATCCCGGCTTTACAATACCACGGACGTCAACAAACAATTGGTCCACGTACGAGAAAAACAGCTCTGCGGGTGCATGACACGTTCGTACAGAACAAACAAACAAACAAAACAAACCAAAAGAAATGACTTTGAAGGCTGATAAGGGCGCTCCAGTAGAATTTAAAAGATCGTTGCCAGTGATATAGGGTGTGAGTGCAGTTTAATCAGAACGCGCTTCATCACTAGTGAAAGTAAAGCATACCGTCACTTAATCGCATGGAGTTCCCGGTTCAATGAGGTCAACAAAAAATTTCCCTTCCGGGTGGGGGTTAGTGTTTTGCCGTTCTTGGTCGTGGCACTTCTAAATGAATACCCTCATACAGCAAAAACGTAGCCTCTCCTCGCAGGGTATTAAATGTTAAAACAATAAACCGGTCAAAGAGTACTGGAAACAAGTTTGAAAAATAAGAACTGAAAGATGGCGGCCGACTTTATGGCTTTCCAAGACGTTCTGTGGAATTTTCTTCGTGCTGTTTAACCCTTAGTCGGGCTCAGCTTAAACTCAAAGGAAAACATAAAACCCACTTCTTATCACATTCCTTAGTTTAAAAAACCGTGGTGGTTTTAAAGGCGGACGAGAGATGTCACGATTTCAGGTGGTACCGTGCGCAATTTCTGCAAAGCTTTTGAAAGGTGAAAGTCCACGCACATGAAAATCCATACAAAAATGAGAGTTTTTTTTAGCGGGAAAACCCAGTGACATCCGATAAGCTGGCATAAATCGAAGGTAAAATTTAGAATTTGATGTTTCTCGTTATTTACATTCAGGTGGTACCCAATGAGAACTGGTTACGAGTAACTCACAATCAGAGACGAAGAACTCTCAAAGTCATCGCAGTTCTATAATACCGCAATGTTTTAAAGACCACATCGTGGCTTCAATGCGCGATGTGGCTCTAGCCTGTTAAAACTCCCGCATGTGACCGGGTATTCTACGCGACCTGCAGATGTTAACAAATGATCAATTCTTCGATAGGTCTTTGATATACGAAGTACAACAATTTTGTCCTAGACCTCCCACCCCCTCTGTTCAACTCTGTCTACAAGGGGGGAATATGACAGTGGTGGATCCAAGGGACGGGCCCGGGGGGCCGGTCCCCCTTTTTTTTAGTCGGAAGGGCCGAAAAAAGAAATTTTGAGACCGGGCCACCCCTTATCTGAAGGTCTGGATCCGTCACTACATGAAGAAAAAGAAAACAGATTATCACGGAAAGTAGACACTTAGTGTTTTACGTAACTTTCAAGGGTATTTCCTGATATGTTAAAGGAAACGCAGTGTATTTCTTACCTGGGGTAAGCTTGGGTATGGAAACTTCCTCTAATTGCCGAGGTCTCGGTATACCTATATCGTGAATAAAAAGACATTGTTGTAGTTCCTTTATACCAGATCGTGGCTTGAATGCCAGTGTGGCTCTAGCCTGTTAAAACTCCCGGAAGTCCGGGCATTCTACGCGACCTGCAGATGTTAACAAATGATTCATTCCTAACTCCGCCAAAGCTTCTTGTAGGACCTCCGTTGTAGCATTATCACTACGACCCCTTCCATTCAACAAGCATCGCGCCTCCTTTTTCATGTAAATCTTCAATTTTTATATCAATATGCTCTAGTTCTTGCTCGGAAATGGCAAGGATTCTACCAAGATCTCTCTAGAGCCTGGGCGCAGCAACTTGAAAGATCTGTGACCGTAAAACTTGAGATTAGACTTTGGTGTTACAAGCAGATTTTTTGAAGAAGATCGTAATTGCCTCGTCGGAGTATAGGGCTGAAGGAGATCTGCTATATATTTGGCGCCATGCCATTCAGTGCTTTGTACGTAAGAAGTAGTATTTTGTACGTAATTCGTTGTCTGACTGGTAGCCAGTGTAGTCTACGAAGAACTGGTGTTCTATGTTCTGAGCTTCGAGTTCTACTCACCAGTCGAGCTGCCCAGTTTTGTACATACTGTAGCCTATCAATAACCGATTAAGGTAAGCCATATAGAAGAGCATTACAGAAATCCAACTTAGATGAAATAAATGCATGAACAAGTGTCTCAGCATTATCCTGAGAGAAACAGTTTCTTATCTTTCCTATATTTCGTAAATGATAGAAGGCCGTTCTGCATTTGTTCATAACATGTTTCTCTAAGTTGACATGGGAATCAAAATTACACCTATATTTCTAGCATTATTAGAGACTTCAATGTATTCACCAGCCACATGAATACCCTTAATAGGTGGGTTGACTTTGTGCTTTGGTCCAATCACTAGGAGCTCAGCTTAACATCTTTGCAAGCATCCATGCATCAATATCATTTAAACAAGACTCAATTGTTTGCACTGAAGCCGCTTGATCATGAAGCTTGAATGAGCAGTACAGCTGGGTGTCATCAGCGTAGAAATTACATGATAGGCCATGACTTCTGAAAATGTCGCCAAGCGGGGACGTGTACAGTACATACAATATAGGCCCCAGCACAGATCCTTGGGGCACGCCACACCGCAGGTCCTTGCTACACGATGTTGCCCCCTTCACGTTGACTACTTGTTTACGATTCTCGAGGTAGGACTTAAACCAGCGCAGGGTTTTGCCATTAGTACCAAAGCGACAAGAGAGTCTCTGCAGAAAAATCTTCTGATCCACAGTGTCAAAAGCTGCAAATAGGTCAAGGAGTAGTAAAACAAGATAGGACTGATTGTCAATCGCAGAAACAATGTCATTATGACCTTTCACAAGCGCTGTTTCAGTGCTATGGAAGGTTTTATAGGCTGATTGCAAACCTTCTTCTAAATCATTACCCCTTAAGTAGTTGGTGAGTTGGTACGAGATTGCCTTCTCTATCATCTTGGAGATGAATTTTAAGATAGAGATGGGTCTAAAATTGGAATACACTTTATGGTCAAGGGACTCTTTCTTTAGTTTAGGCCTTATCATGGCTTCCTTAAGTTGCACCGGCACATTAGCAGTTTCAATTGATATGTTGATCATCTTAGTTGAAACAGGCAACAAAACGTCCATGCAATCTTTCATTATTGATGCTGGAAGAGGGTCTAGAATACAGGTCTTCTGGCGGCAGGAGTTGATTAAACTCTTCACCTGGTCTTCTGTCATGCGTTCGAACTCAGTAAGTTCAGCACTGCAGGCCTGAGCATCCAGAAGAGAATTGACGACCAGTGTATATCGATATCTTATAACTTCGATCTTTTGGCAAAAGAAATCAGCAAATCTATTTTCTAGCACCTCAGAAGATGGAGTAGTTGGGTAACACTTCTCAGTGTTACGGTGGAGGAGCCGCGGGTAACTGTGTTAAACAAGCCCTTTTGATTGCCTTTATTTTCTTGTATGATGTTGGAGTAATAGTTTTCCTTTGCTTTCTTGATAAGAGAACTGACGACTTTACATTATTCTTTATATAATTCTCTGTCAATAACCAGGCGTGATTTGCGCCAGCGCCTTTCTAATTTCCGTCTTTTTCTCTTTCCTCGGTCAATGTCACCATTATACAAGGCAGCAGCGGGTCTCACCGTGATCGTTGGTTTTTTCTCCTGAGCATGGATGTCAAGTAATCTTTTTACTTCAGTTTCGTATTTATCGACTAGCGTTGGTAGATCAGTGATGTTTTCTTGCAAGATAATGGAATCCCTCAAGTCCTTGCACAGAGCACTCATATCAACAAATCGCAGTTTACGGTATCTAATGTTATGCTGTTCAGCTCGAGGCTTGCTTAGTTTCAGTGTGCAGTGCACAGCAAAACGGTCCGACAAGGTAGGATCTCTGACCACGATACCATCCACTAGGTCATCTTCGGATCGAGTGATGATTAGATCTAGGATGTGTCCCCTAGAGTGGGTGGGTGTGGCAACATGTTGCTTCAGATTAAAAGATTTTAGCAGGTTGTGAAGCTTGGTTGCATCGGTGTTATTACTGTCGTCAAGATGAAAATTAAAATCACCCACAATCAACAAGTTGCCTGAAATTGGAACAAGCTGCTCGAGGAGGTTCGCGAAGCCTTCGAGAAACGCTTTGATCTGCGACGATGTAGGTCGGTAAATGACAACGAATCTTATGCTTCCGATGGGATATTCAGCAAGCGCAACCACATTCTCAAAGGAACTAAGATTCGCTGAACACAGCCTCTCAACTAGGAGTGATTTCTTAACTAGTATACCAACTCCACCGCCTCTTGAGTTCTCCCTGGGAGTACGATAAAAAATATATCCTTTTGGGCATAACTCGCCAACGAAAAAGCTGTTACTCTCCCCTGAGTGAAGCCGAGTTTCCGTGAAGGCAAGGAAGTCAAGATCATGCTCAACGGTGTAGTCCTTGAGTGATAGTGCTTTGTTATTAACAGATCGTAGAAATCTAATGACTGCGACAGCGACGACGAGTTAGATCTTTTGGAATTAATTTTTATGCAGTTCGATTCATCATATGTGCGACAGCAGCTGGTCGTCTTTTTTTTTGCGGTCAGTACATCTGACAGGAATCTTACAAGTGCCTCTGCTAATCGGCTCTGGCAAAGGATGAACATCGCCGCTTAGAGAGATCGTCAAAGCATTGAAATTGAACGTTGCTACTGAGTTTGGATAGTACGCATTGCGGGCCTTGAACCATCTCTTTGTTTTTGTTTTTGTCAAGTGGGAAAATTTAGCTGAATAGTTCAATTTAATATGGGTGCATTGTTGCATGGCAATTAACGCCCGACGCTGTTGCTTTCTAAGCACATCCTTAGGGAATAAACCATCTTGTATGCTAATTTCAAGCACGTCATGGTTTGTTGAAGCTGACCAGCTCTGTGATACAGAATTTGTGATAAATTGAAGCAAATTACTGCACGAAGATGCAATCCAAGGACAGTGCTTTGTTCCTCTTATCGTTACAAATGCCCAGGATGAGTTGTCAATAGATTTCGATGCTAGTTGGAGCAAGAAAACCATCCAAAACGACAGACCTAAAAACACGTAGCCTGCCGTCATAATGATATGCGTTGGGAAACCTAAACAAACGCCATTTCTTATTGTTTGAAGACCGCGAATGGACGTATTTTTCTTTTCTTTTCTGTTTCAATGCTTATTTTGTGCATCAGTGAGTTTACCGCCATAATGATTTTAGCGCAGCCGTTTACCTTATTGGTAATAATTTTCGCGGTCGCTTTATTTCGCGAAATTTTAAATAACGTCATTTGGCAAAATAGAACTTGTTGCAATTGGCAGAGATTGTCCAAATGTCATTCATACTGAAACCGCATCAAGGGCCATCAATTTCAGCTGTATAACGCTTTCGTCCAGCTAGCTGGAACTGTTTTTGTCAAACAAGATCGTTTACTTTGGAATCAGGAGCCAATTAACTATTGGCTCCTATTTGGAATTCGTTTCTGATAACTGTAGGTCGTGTTAACACGCTAAGAAACCAAACTGATTATAAACTAATAACATCAAAGGGATATAGCACTCGACAATATTGAACTAGAGATTTAGACATTCAGAGTCAGAACCTTGGTAACTTTGCAGTACAAGAGGGGGTCCATTTTCTATTTAACTTTTAAACACTTCAAAGACAAATGAACCGTACTGAAAACATTCATAACGGTCAATAGATATTGATAAACAATCCTTGATCTGAAATTTAATCCTTCCACGCTTTTCAAGATCCAACAGATCTACTTGGTGTCTGACTTGCACAAAGCGAGTTAGCGTTTCACACTACTTCTTGAGTGGTTTTTTTCCCTTCTTTTCCTAATATCAGGCTGGGATTTAACAAGGCCAGGCACCGTTGGGTTTGTTTGGAACTCTGATCTAAATATCAGAGAAATTTTACCAAGACTATCATCATCATTTAATAATTTGTTGTTTGCTGCTTTTCTTTTATAATTAATCTACCATATTCACATTGCCCAGTTAAGTAATACTACGTATTGTTTATCGGAAACGTTTTATGCCTCAGCCTTGTTTTCAGTTTCCCTTGGAAAACCTGTAATACCCCCATCAAAAACTGGAAACAATGGTTTTGCACAATATTGGAAGGTAAACAAGGTGTATTATGGGCAATGTGAAATTGTTACATGTCTATAAAGACTTCAATATGGCGTAGAAAGTAAATCGCCTGGCTATGATATTTAAGTCAATGAGACTTTATCAAGGTTACGGCCAATAGTTATTCTACTACTATTAAGTCTTTTATTACACTTAGGGTCAAACTTTATTACACTTAGAACCTTTATTACATTTAGGGTCATTTATTAAATTTGAGGCCTCAAAGGGTACGATAAAGGGTCAACTGATTCCTGTTTTTTTTGGGGGGGGGGAGCGCTCAACGATTGTCTGTTTCTGTTTAAAAACATTTCCTTTAAACAAAACACACACACAGTTAAACGGTATTGTCATGTGGCGATACATGCTGCGAGACATGCCGGACAATACAGTGTCAAACTGCTAAAACATCTCCTCCCCAAAAGCTCACCCACTGTAACTGAGATGTTGATGACCTGGGCAGATCTAGATGCACTGGTCTTTCGTGTGTGCAGCAAATCTGCAACAGTCTACGATACCGTCAGCAGAGCATTCGGTACCCTCGTCTTCACCTACTTGACTGCCGTTGCAACAGGAGGATCAGAAATCCAGCGCCGGAGAACGCGTTGAGCCATGGGGGAGCATTGGTCGCGTGAGGGACAAGGGAAAGTAACGCCTCCAGCAAGGCCATTGTTTCAGTCAGAAACGTAACAGTTCTTTATGACTGGATGAAATCATTATCAAGCTATTTTAAAAAATCATCCATTCTCAACTAGCACCTTGATGAGATAATTTCCTCAAGTGTGCCAACGTAAATCATATAAAAAGAAAACATCAACTCGGAAGTGTTCAATTTACATTGGTATATGCATAGCTAGCTATATCTGGCATTCTACTAACTCGTTACAACAAACGCCCTATGTAACATACCTGGAGCACGCCTATGTTTTCTTTTTTGCTGAGTTTCCTGTGTACCTAACAAGAAATAAAGAGGTCAATCGGAATTAGATTCCAGGGAAGCTGCCTTTCTTCAGATTCACTTGAGAGCTTTTGACAGGTTAGTGAGCTGGTGGAGGCAATCTAGTTTGGTCAGGGTGATGGGTTCCTCCACCTTAGCTCTAACAAAAAGAGCATGATGCGTGAGCTATTTTGAATTTTCCTGCGGTAGCCGCACCAGGATCCTTCTAATACCCTAATTCTAGACTGGCTGATTGCTTGAGATTGTCCAGAAATTGGATATTGGTTTACATGAAAATGATGAAAGTAACAAAAGGGCAGCTGGAAGTGCGAAAGCAGCGCACGGTCGTCTGAATCTATCCTTTTCGCCATAGGTTCTCTTTTTCTTACTCTTGCATTCAGTCGTGTAAATATAATTAAAATCAAACACCTTTATCAAAGAAATAATATCAGTGTGCACTAAGGGTTACTTCATATTTCAGATTTTGGACTAAAAACGTCACGTCTCTAAGAAGAAAATATCTCAACTTTGGCCCAGTCTGAAGAGGATGAATTAAGTTTAAAGTTATTTTATGAGAAGAAACGTTGAGAAATAGTAGAAAGAAAGAAGACTGAAATTTTCACACACCGCTAACAAGAGCGCCTAATACATACTAATCAAATTCTTCTTTCTAGCAATTCGATCGGCCGGAGATATCTCCATGATCTTTCACACACGTTTTTAAAACGATTAAGACTACTATGAGGTGAAAGTGCATGTCAAAAGCGCTTCGTTTTCTACAGATAACAATCGAACATCAAGATTGTCCACTTCTTTCCGAACTTCTAACCATAAAAACTTCATCCCGAAATATCTCGATAACGCTCCTTACAGATTTCGCGTAGACCTCACAAATAACGAGGCCGCTATCGGAGGAAAAAGCTCCTCTGAGCTTTGGAAGGACAGTTTCCAGTGCCGAGAAATACTGCCGCTAGTGAAATAGGTAACGGCGTCATTTTGTCGCTAAAACAACTCCGATGTCATTGCAACCCTGATCATAACAAATTTCCACCTTTACCTAATACAATTGCGGTGGCAATTTTTCCAAATCTTTATGCTCGTACTTGGGAGGTATCCTGTAAAACTGTATCGAGCCACCTTAATTATACTCTTTACAAGGAATTTATAGTAAGAGGATCACGAGCCAAAGCGGATTGATAAATAACAAAAATAGATATTCATAAGCAGTCACAATTATATTCACTTACGTAGCCGTTAGCGACATTGTCCTCTATCTACTCGATAAATAAAAAAACATAAACTGAGAGAAACGGCGTGTAAGTCTCACCTTTGGAAAATTTGTCCGTTTGCTGTTGAGCTAGTATAACGAGGAAGAAAGAAAATTATCCACCACTTAAAAACATTTAATGGTCAGATAACATGAATAACAAATATAATTATGTTTTTTATATTATACATGTAAAGTCTCGTGCAAACGGACGCAACATTGTTGGCCAACAACTCCTGACATTGTTGCGTCTGTTTGCCTGTAGCTAAAAGTTTGACTGGTTTCAAACTTTTCGCAACAACTGCGTACAACATGCAAAAGGGTGTGAAAACGGACGCAACATGTAACATCCAAGCCCCACTACCTTTTCCCAACTTGGTCTCAAGGGTGAGAACGTGAATAAAAAGAAGAGAAATATGGAGTTATATTGCCGCACATAGGTGGGTTACGTAACGTTCAAAGGTATTTCCCGATAAGTTCAGGGAACCGCGGTGTATATCTTACCTTGAGTAGTCGTAGGAATTGAAACTTCTGTTACTTGTCGAGTTTTTGGTTTACCTACCGAGGATAAAGGGTAATGAGACGTGATGAAGTCACAAAAACTAAATTTGTGGGATTATGGGGTTATTTAGCATACTTAGCCCCAGGCCTGTTAGTCCAGAAAGAACCGGGCAGAAATAGTCCAGTTGCTAAAATTAGCCTGTAAGTGCAAATTGGCGAGGAGATAGATATAAGCACCGTTATGTTCCGGTGACTCCATATAAACCCTTCTAAAAAACCGGTAGGCCTTTATCATAAGGTTTTGTATGGAGTCATCAGAGCATAACGGCGCTCTCCCCACCACTTTTCATTTTTCCAACTAATCCCATAATTTCACAAATTTGAATTTTTATGACGTCAGACTTGTTTACTCTATTTTTATTCTCACATACCGGATACCGATTAAGAAGTCCATGTATTAGACCGGTAACGTTTCATCGCAATCGAATATGGCAAAACCCCTCTTGAGTCCCATGACCCAAGAACGACAATGCAAAACAACAAATCGCTTAGAGTTTTAGCTCCCGAGGGATGATAAGGATTACTGGTGATATAGGTTTTGGTGATATTTGTTGTATTCGAAACGCGCGCTTCATTGCTCGGACGGGGACGTGAGACACCCCTAACCTCAAGTCAAGACAGTTATCATTTGTCAAGAGATTACAAGCAGAAAAGCTCGTGTCGTCTACTTGGTCGCGTCTTCAATGAAAATGTGAGAGAATTATAAAAAGAACATTATTGATAAAATAATGACAAAACGAACCAATGTATATAAGTTGGCATATCAATAGCTGACCATCACGGTTGTATCTTCGTATTTACTCGATAACTAACTTAACATTTACGACTTGCATATCTTACTTAACGTGGTCACGGTTGCAGCAGCTATTACAGTGAATCCATTCAGGAGGTGTACACTAATGAAAATGATGAACTTTCTAGGCAATATTTTTTTTCTTTCGAACAGTTCAGTATTTTGCATAACAACGTCGTCTGGGGGCCCTGTAGTAAAGAGCCTCATAAGGGAGCTTAAGCAACGACGACGGCGACGGAAACGAAAACGTCACTTAAAAAATAAATTCGCGCTGCCTCAATTATTATCGCGTTTATTCCATCTCGTTTAATTCGTCAAATATTGGCAAATTTCTTTGGAGTTGAATTCCAAGGATTGTATCAAAAGTTCAGGAAAAAAAAAAAAAGAAAATTATTGTTTTCTGTTCCAGTCCTCGACAAAACGTGAAATTAGGCAACGACGGCTAAGAAATGTACAAAAAAACGCGATGCACGTGCAAAGATTAAAGATGTTATTTTGTCAATATAAACCTATTTGCCGTTCTCCCGTTTCCGTCGCTGTCTTCGTTGCTTTAACTCCCTATTGTTTACTCTTCTCCACGTTCAGTATCATAAGAAAGTGTACCTTTATCAAGTTTCACCAGATGACCCATTCCCATCTTCTTCAGTTTTTCTTGCAAGTCCTTCGTAGCAGCACCATCAATGGTTTTCTTCCACTCATAAAGCATCTTCTTTCCTTTATTATGTTCAAGTTTATTCGTCGAGCTAAGATTTTCTAGCCTTTGCTCAGGAATTCCAAGCAATGAACCAAGCAATCTCCAGTTTGACCCAAGAGCTCTTGATAAATTAGCGAGTTGTTGGTGGGAAACTGGTTTGGTCAGGCTGATGGGTTTCTCTACCTTAGCTGTAACAACAACATAAACACGTGTAACATGCATGACTTTTTTGAAAGTTTTTGTGCGCGAAACTGAAGACTTATCTTTTAGGCTGTTCCTGAGGACCAGTCCGAAAATATCAATCAGCACTTCGGTAGCATGTGAGGATTAGTCCGGTAAAGTTCCCCGCCATACAATCGACTGTGTAAAATTTTAAGAGACCTCGGTAAATGTTTGTGTTTTATCTATATTTCTTTGTTGCAGGACTCTTTGGGTAATATACATTAAACCTTTGAGCTTGAACAATACTTTCTAAATAAAGGTGATCTTCTTTCTGTCCAAAGAGAAACTGAGGGGTAAGATATTCTTCACGCATTGCCTCTCTCCTCACTCTGTAGAGTTATGATTGAATAATCAAGGAGTAATCGATATTCCGATCAATCGCTGAAAACTTGTAAAAGATATTTGTGTTTCTTTCCACCTTATCAGCCAGAAAAGCTAGGTTATTATATATCTTAACCCGAGTTCTCTTCCCTTTGAGCTTGAACAATACTTCTAATTAATTGAAGGTGATCTTCCTTCTGTCCGAATTAAAGAGAAAGAGATAACTGATTCGTCGTGCATTCCCTTTCAACCCCTCCCTCTGATAGAATGATTATTAAATAATGAGGAGTAAACGATATTCATTTCAATGGCTTCCTTGTCAGCAAACTTCTTTATATCATATTTTACCTTCAACAAGCCCCTTCGCAGGACTTCCTTGAACTTGATTCATTGGAATTGTTCCTTCACCTTTAGCTAAAGAAGACGAAAAGATACACTAGGCATCTCTGAGTTGCCCACAAGCCTCTGTTTCAAAACGAGGCTAAGTGCAAGCTATTGATATCTAAGTGTCATATTCTCCAATAAACATCAGTTTCACAAGAAAGCTTTAACTCGATTGAAAGTGAAAGTCTTTGGAACTCGAAAATGACCTATTTCTAGCTTTTCGTTCAGCTAAAGCGAGAAACCGGGAGTGAAGTATGATCGCGTTTTCCAAGTTGTGAAAAAACGAATGATCTTTGTAAGCTCAAATGCCAACTTTGAAAGGAAATTTACCAGTTACTCGTGATGAAATAAAGTAACTACATGCAGACAATAGCTGAAACGATCAGAAGGGAAGATAAAACACATTTATTAAATTTCAGTGACATAAATTGAGTAGAATTATGACTGCACCCAAGATCAGAAAGTCCACCGTAGTCAAACGTCTGAGGTTTTATTATTTTTAAATGTGAATCAATTATTTCCCAGTTCTAGACTGGTTGATTGTTTGAGATTATCTTACTAGAAACCGGGTAGTGCTGTTCATGCGAAAAGGTGAGAGCGACAAAATGACATCTTAAAATACGAAAGTTGCCGATTAAGAGTCACTTTATAGGTAACTCTAACAAACAAGTGTCTATATGGAAAACCATGCGGTTATTTTAAAAACTATAGGCTTTTTCCTTCCTCGCAACGTTTTTTTTTGTATGCCTGGTTATGTAACTTATTACTGAATTTTGTATCAGAATATATGTTGAAGTTGCCTTATTTAATTGTTGGGTAATCTGAATACTTGCCGGTGGCACGCCCAGTACGTACGTCGTTTAGAATCCTCCTTCGTTCGATCAACTCCGTCAAAATATGACACAACCGAGTCATTAAATGTAATAGCTTTGCTTGCCTTTTCTAAAGGGCGAATTACAATTTCTAATAGACTCTTATCATCTGCATTTTTCTGCAAGTCAGAAACAAGCAAAGAAGTAGGCCCGCAAAGTTCCCCAACCATAAAAACAACCGTAACATTTTGAGAGCTTGAACTTTACTGCTTAATAAAAGGGAATTTTTCCTGTCAAAAGATCGACAAATGGGAAGGGATAAAAATTCCTCATACAACCCCTTTCTCTTCCCTTTGATAGGGTCAAAAGTGATAGATATTCATATCAATCATTTAAAAACTGTGTCTACTTCTTTTGACCTAGGAAAGGAAAACTTCTTTATATCTCACCTTGAACAAGCAGCGTCGCTGCACTTCCTTGAACTTGGTGAATAGGTGTTGTCTCCTCCTCTTCACCTAACGAAGATGCAAGGACACAATTTGTGACTTCCCAGTTTGAGACATAACAGATAATAACCTATCTCGACATATCACTTGGTCATTCGCTTTGCTGGCCTTTTGTATAAGACACTAAATCCAATATAAACCTCCACGGTGTCACGAAGACTTTGCAGACCAGATAGTGAATAACCATCTCCACTACATACAGGAAAGATGGCCAATTAAGTGACTCGCCCAGTTTGAAAGTGAAGCAAGCAAACGAAGATATAGCACTGCAAAGTTGCAAAATACTACAGAAAAATCCTTATTTCGGTCGTCTCCCTTGATCGAGAGAATGACTTAACTGAGTAGCAATGTAATCACTTTGATAGCCTTTTTGTAAAGGACGAATAATAAGAGACCCTGCCCCGGTTTTGTTTTCTTTTCAACCCTCGTTGTATGCAGTCAGCAAATATCAACCGGCACTTCAGAAACATGCGAGGGTATAGCCACGTTAAGTCTCCCCACAATATAAACGACTGTAAAATAATACGAGACTTCGGATGTTTGAGACTTTGCTACTCTCTTTTTGTTACAAGTTTCTTTACTTCAGGGGCTGATTTAGGTGACCTGTTAGTCCTAAGATCTTCAATGGCGATGAAAATTTCCATACGTTAATTGTTTCCATTTTATCTTGTTTTGCTTCCATTTTGTCCTGTTAAATTTGCATCTTCTCCACAATTTTATCTAGTTTATCAAGCTTATCTTTTGTTTCCATATCCTTAAAGTAACACGATTGAAGTTCTTTAACACATTTCTTTGCATCTGGTGTTAGTGGCTCACGGAAAAACTTTTCCATGGACTTCTTCCACTCATCCCTCTTTGCATTACTTAGGCCACCAGCAATTCTCAATATGTTTTCCCAACCAATAAGCATCTTTTCGTTAAAATCGCTTCAAGAACGAGAAAAATTTTGTTGACAAATGGTGCTAGAGAGTAACACCAGCTTCAGTTTTCAAACTGTTAGAACTTTCTTCCTATTAACAATAATAAACTTTCCAAATGCTAAAAGTAAATTAACAGCGTACTGGATTAATATCTTTAATTCTCAACAGTGAAAGTAAGAACCTTAGCTTTGAATTACTTTGACCAGCTTTTTCAAATTCTCTCGTTTGACCGCGGTGAAACGCAGAAGATTGCTAAGAGGCGTAGAGAGTGGCACAAGGCGACAGCGAGAGCTCAGCAATCCATCCAAGTGCAACAGTAACTCAATTAGTACAAACATTTGCGCGCGCTATGGCGTGTTCAAATTATATTTTGCAAAGTCGTTCAAGCAAATCTTTTCTTCGAATGAGAAGTCTTCTGTCTAAATCTGGATAGTAGGGAACCTTTTCGTGTGTTATCATAAACGACGACATTTTGTAAACCTTTTTGTCATTAGTTAGATAAAACCTTTGTGAACTATGAGGTAAAAATTACTACAGTGAAGCCTGTATTAAGCGGACACCCTCGGGGAATGCTATGGTGTCCGCTTAATACAGGGTGTCCGCCTAATACAGGTTTCGATAGTTATTAAACGTCATATGAGTTGTCAAATGCCATTCAAATGAACAGTGGAAACGCTCAGAATACTCCCCGAGAGACTATGATGATATACGTTTGCATTAATTTCTTTATCAAAGTGGACCAATTGATTGTAGTACCATAACTTTCTCTGATAGATTGCAACTCAAATTTGAAGAATTCAGATGAGTGAAACAAGCTCTATACAAACAAAACGAAATAGAAAACAATACTGTACTGTGAAACTAATCAAGTCACGTTTTTTTAATGTAAAAATAAAAAAAAATGTGGGTGGCAATTTGAGGAAATCTTTTGCATTTCCGGTGTCTGGCATGTTGGGTGGTGGAATTTAATTACAAGTGTCCGTTTAATAAAGGTTGGTAACAATAGAAATGACAATGTCAGGTACTTTTTAGGTGTCCGCGTCCGCTTAATAGAGGTGTCCGCTTAATAAAGGTTTCATTTAAAGTAAATAAGGGAAATAAATTTGGGGACTTCGGCTACTGTCCGCTTAAAAGAGGGTGTCCGCTTAATACAGGTTTCACTGTAATTCGCTTTACTTTTGTCATGTTATATTATGATATCTTTTAGCAAATTTCAAAGTCTTTCCCTGTTGGTTGTGTTATAAAACAAATGTACACGGATCAGCATGTTCAACTATTGAACTATGATTGCACTTGGAAGAATAAGCACTGCCAATGACGTCACAAGTTGCACATGGGACGAGGATTCGCATAAGCGGTCGCGATTGGTTCGTGTGTAAGAAGCAAAAATTTCCGTAGCTTTGACAAGTTTCGAGTTTGCAAGTGTTTTCTCTGGGGCCACAGTTTTTATCACTAATTTTTCCCCCTGACCAGCTTGATATCATAACCATATGTTAAACATAGTTTCAAAGAATTATCTGAACTGAAAAGAAAAAAGAATTACCTGAACTTTTCTTCAAAAAATCTTTGTAAGACAAATAGTCTTCCTCTGTAATAAACGTTGTCAGTTTAACCTCCACCAGGTTTAGCTTTTCCAGGACCTCTGCCGTTACAAGCGTATCTTGAATCATTTCATTAAGATGCCCTGTCCGGTACTCCTCCCACAACGTCTCCAGCACTTCCATTGAACTGCAGGAAACTGTTAAAACCAAGCTGCCCAGTCTGTAGCCTTGAACGTCAACTCCAAGCTTCATTTTGAAGTATTTGAATAATAGATCGAAGGAACTCTTGACGATAGTCCAGAAATCAAGAGCTATTGGATGATCCTGCTGACTCAGCAGACCTGAGCTTGTGGATACTCCTGCAGAACCTTCTATTTGTTGCTGCTCTGGGATTGCTGATGGCCCTTGTGGGGTTGATCCCCTTGCTATAGGTTCTTTAACAAAGATGTAAATATCCATGAGCATTTTTCTCATCTGCTTCATCTCTTCAGTTAGCTCTTGGACCCTGGCGTTTGTCTCCATTTCCTTTAAGTACCACGATTGAAGTTCCTCAACACATATCTTTGCTTCTGGTGTTAGTGGTTCAAGGAAAAACTTTTCGATTGCTTTCTTCCACTCATCCTTCTTTGCACTACTAATGCCCCCAGCAATTCTCAAGAACGCCTCACTGATTTCCATCCAAAGCTTCTCGAAATCAGCATCTGTTACTTCCATGCGTTCGTTGTGACCATGAAGTGTATTACGCAAACATCTGATTCTCACTATGTCTGCCTCACGGCTGTGATCAGTGTTGTTAGGCAATTTGTCCCATCCAGTTACTGGAGCGGTAAGGCTGCATATTGATCGAAGTAATTTGTAAAGTAAGCTGATATCAAAATCGGCCGACTTTCCATAGGTTCCTGGTCCATGTGGGTTGTAAAGGCACTTCCACTCGGCGTAGGTAAGGACTTTGTTCCCAGTAGTTGTTTTCAAAGTTTGAAGGTGCACCTTTTTGGCACCAAGCACAGCTGGAAGATTAGCTGGTGGATGGATGGCGTCAAACACGTCCCTTAAAAGTGCGAGTCCTCCACGCATCAGAAGCCATGTCAACCGCTGAAAATTTGCTTTTTCAACTGTTGTGCGTAACGCTTCTTCTGCGGCAGATGGTGATGTACCTGAAGCCATTTCTTTGCAAGTGGCACTAAAAAGACTGCGTAACGGCTAAGACATGTTACTTCAACTGATTTAAAAAGTGACAGTAAATTAAATAGGAAGCCCTATCTGGGTAGCTGGAGTATTAAAGTTAGTGGAGAAAAGAGTAATTATAATATGCTATGAAAAAGTTTTGCATAGCAAGCAAAAATACTCTTACAAAAGTGCACACTCAGAAAATGTATGTTTGTGGGGCCCCATATAAGAGAATCCGGGAAATTTTTGCATATGGAATCCGGAATCCTGGGCCTCGGAATCCGGAATCCAAGGCGTGGAATCCAGAATCCAAAACTGTCTTGGTTTCCCTTACATGAGGCAAGTTGTGGGCCCATAACACTGGATCAATTTTTCCTTCGCTAGTGATAAAATCTCCAGACAGCATCATTTTATTGGATAGATGCCGCTTCAGAGATGTAGACAAATGCATATATGATCAAATGAAAACTATTATGTAGTGATTTAAAAAACAACAACAACAACAACAAAACAAGTATTTATAAGAGCAAAAAATGCTTATTCCCGTCCACCCTCTGTTTCATTAAGCAGGAACCTGCGAATTTATAAAAAAAATCAGTGCTGAAATAAAATAATTATCTAACTTGGTAACCAGTCAAATCTTTGTGTTGTGTAATTGTACCTTTAATTGTACCAGCCAAAGAAATCAAAATCTTAGAATTTCTCAAAAACCAGAAACTAGACTGAAAAGATCTCATTAACTTGACAAGTTTCGACTCGGTCTCGTAGATGATTGTGTATCAACTACTGTTTTGGGATTGAATTTTTTATCAGTTTCGTTCTGCATGAATGAATAAGCCCCCAATTAAGCGCGTGGTGCCATTACTCTATCTGTCGTCAGCACAGATGGCGGATTATTAAAGTACAATTGTCTAATTTATGAGTCCTCTGTGATTAAGATAATAATTGCAATGTGAATAACATCCAGCTTTCATCAAAAGAAGAAGAGTGCGTCCGTAGCTAGCCTGCTAAAATATTAGCGACTGTGGGAAAAGAACTCAGTTGCAAGTAACAACTGACAGTTTACAGAGACATACACTAAATGTTCTAAATGATACTTTGCGCATGATGAGCAGCTAAGGATCAATTTTAGCCATTTCCAGGGCGAGAAAATCAACTTTTAAGTGTTAAAAAAGTTTAATATATGTAAAGAAGTCCATACTGTTACTAAGCTTAATTTAGCTTCGTCGCTTCAAATATCGTTTATGCTAATTATATATTGTATTGATTATTCTCAGAAGATGCCCAATTTCTCATAGAAACCAACATTTTCCTTGAAACCATAGTGTACACACGATCTCGAATATGACGTGTTACGAAGGAAAGTATTTGTACACCAGTGTACCTTCTTATTATTTATATTGGGGCGAAGAAAGTCCGCAGATTACCTCTCCTGCACCTTCTGGTTTTTGAATCCGATGAACTCTAGGATGAAATCTGTAAAACATACAAACTTTCAGCAAAATGTTTTTTTCACTGTTTGTGATTACAAATCTTTCAAAGCAAAATCACCTCAGTTTCTAAACAGTGTACACGCCAAACGTTTAGACGCAAGTTTCCTTTTCACGGCCGTAAGAAGTTACACAACCAGGGAACCACAATCACTTCTCGACACTTCCGCCTTGGTGTATCATGAAATATGACGGCATTTGCGAAATCTGTAAATTCCGCCCTTAAACTGTAAGTTTGAAGCAAAATTTAAAAATGGCTTTCACCCTTCATAGAGTGCTACACTTGAGTAGGGGTTAACTTCTCAAGTGGCTAAAAATCGGCAAGTTCTAATCGACCTTCTCGCTCCGCCATCTTTTCATAGAGGTGTGGAAAGATCCAGAAAATTGTCGTTCCCATACTCCTTAGAACCACGGCCATGCTAATGTCGCTTGGCATGATTAAACATATGGCGTTTGTCACGCGTTTGTCGGTCATGCAATGTAAACAGAGTTTCGATTCAGTTCATGACATAGAATTCGAAAACAATTGACAGTGTATCATAGACACAACTGCGAAAAAAAGTCAAAGAGACCTCGCTTTTACTACCTTTCTTAAGCAAGCCAGCCAGCGCATTGCTTCCTTGACAGGCCCCTTGGGTAAGGCGGGAACGAAAGGATGAAGAAATCTTTTTAGGTTTTTGAAGTGTGGACAGTATGGTCTTTGTGTGTAATCATGGGCAGGAAGAAAAGGGAAAAAATACTGGATTCAAAGCCGTCAGAACTAGCGATATTTAACTGACTCGCACCTGAATCTTCCAAGTTTTACACTCTTCCATGTGGTAGCACTTTTCCAGACCTCATCAGCTTTTCATATTTTTTAATTTTGCGCTGGCCACATTTACCTCGAATGTTTTGAATGCTTAGTTACACCCCTGGGAAAATCAGAAAACGTTCGACATCGTTTATTAATTTTATAAGTGTCATACCAAAAAGTCAAAAATTTTGCGCGATATTTTCGTAATATCCCCCTGCAAAGTGGATAAGTTCGTTCAGGGATATCTACTATACTCATGGACGAACCGCTGCAATCCCTGAATATGTTGTAAACAAACTCGTATGAATATAGCATGAAGTAGACATACAATCAACTCTCGCCTTGCGGGCACCCAGCTATGACATACACTCCCTCGAGAACACCCGGGCTGGATAAGTAAGAGCGATGTTGTATGATTAAAGAGAACACACCCCATTTCTTACAAGCCCCAAAATGCCCTCTATACATTTTTTTATCTTCCCTTTTAATTATAAAAACGACCACATCAGTTAACAATATGAGGTGAACACGGGCTTTCTAAGTGTCCCCTCGTCTCTTGTCTATTGTTCTCCTTGACTAACTTTGTAATGTCAGTATCTTCATTGTAAGATGTCGGCTGCTTGTTAAAAATCAAGATCACCCCACTCAGCAGGAGCCAGCTGGGTGGCGCAGTGGTAAGAGCACTCACCTCCACCCGTGGGGTCCGGGTTCAAATCCCTGTGTCGAAACCATATGTGGGTTGAGTTTGTTGTTGGTTCTCTCACTTGCTCCGAGAGGTTTTTCTCTGGGTACTGCGGTTTTCCCTTCTCCTCAAAAACCAACACTTCCAAATTCTAATTCTATCTTGAACGCTCGGACACGTTAAAACGAGTTCATAAGAACTCCTAAGTGCTTCGTGGGTAAACAAATTACCATTACCATTACAATTACAAACAGCCTAAACATTCATTCTTGGATCCGAGGCTGAGGGGTATAAAACAAAAGAAATTGCTTTGAGATTAATTCGTTTCTTTTGTTCTATTCCGTCTCAGCCTCGGAGCCAAGTATGAAACTGGCCTGAACTGGCTCGTTGCCTCTGCTCTTAGAACATATATGTTACAGGTCAAATTTGATTTCAGGCTCAATTTTTTTTAACCTATATATAGGTTGATTCTCAATTTCCTTTGTCTCCCAGCCCTAATTATTCATGAATTAGGGCTAGGGAACAGAGGAAATTGAGAATCAATCTACTGGGGTTAAATCAAAATTAACCTGAAATCAAATTTGAGGTACACCAAACCGATTGGGAATAGTACGTCCTTTGAACAGAAAAGCTAACGCTCGATCTTTTACTGGTCTGTAGGTTGAACTCCCTTATATGGCTTATACGAAGATGTGCTCATATGTAAAGCTAGACAAGGTAGGGTTTTTTACTTCTCTGTCCTAAACGGAGTAAATAATTCGTGCGGGTCTGCCCGCCTCATTAAAGACAGGATATTGCCTACACGATTAATTTGAGTTGGTTGATGAAACTTGTGTGTACTCCAGATACAAAAGTGGTGACCAGCTGAACGTGGATTTGCTCTATTGTTATTGCCAATAACTGGGTTTTAAAACACAAAACGGCCTGCTTTTTTACCTTTGTCCTAAACAGGGTAATATAATGAAGGGTGTTGTTCTTAATTGGGTAAGTATTTCATGGTTTTCTGTACTAAAAAGGGTCAGGGTATTGCTTATATTAGTCGAGTACCCTCCGGGCTAAGCTAAGTGGCCCCTCTAAAATAATATGGAAGAACACAGGAGACAGGGGCAGCCTGTTTGTGGCGCTTACTCTTTCAAGTATATCCATGCCAAGTGCACGCGATCCGTTTAACTCGGATGAGGTCGCAACTGAAGTTTGTTAAACGTTCTTGGTGAATGGAAGGATTATCGACCTCCCCGCGCCCCTCGCTGGAGTTTCAAGCCTTTGTCATCTCGTTGACCAAACCCAGGTGATCTACCAACCGATCGCGCTAGTTAACTTATCCTGTCAGGAAAGAGACTCAACTTCATAGGATACCCAGGGGCGTTTAATTTAGTGCGTGTAACTTACTACATTAGCGCACTCACTCGCGTGTACACTGTAGTGTTTAAAACGACGTTGCCAGGCATGAAATGTTGGACTTGGTTAAAGCCGTTTATTCCTTTGTCCTTCGACCTCATGCATTAAGCATTATTTCGCAGGCACGAAAATATTTGACTTACTTCGTTCTTGCCTTCTAAAACATTGGGAAATATTCTACATTAAATGAATAGCCAGTTTTCCATTATAATATAGTTAATTTTTAACGTCCTGTCTCATTGAAATCTGCGCCTTTGCACTAATTAGCCCTATAGGGTGAAGATGGTTGTTTCTGTGACATGTGTGTTCATGCATTTCAATAACTCATATTATCATGGTTATACTTTTTTACGAAGAAAGTGACAAACTCTCACGTCTTATCAAACTCTCTCTAAATAGTTGCTTAGTGTTAAGAATGTTGCACATTGATAGAGTAGAACCCCAGTACGTCACTAACCGTGCTAACTAACCTGCGAGCAAGCTCCGCATTTCGAGAGGCGAGCGAAGCGAGCGGGGAAAGAACACAAGAGCCGCAAGTAGCGGAGGAATTTTTCTCAACCCTCGGTCCCTCGTTTCCTTTCGCGCGCGGCTCTCGGGTGACTTCTTGCTTCCCCGGATGAAGAGCCTCAATTGC